CGGTGGCGGTCCGGCGCACGCAGCGTCCGCGAGGGGGCTGGAGTCGGTGCTGGAGGTCTGCAAGGGGCGCTGTCTCCAGAGAAGGCTTCTCCCTCTGATGCAGGCTTTGGGGAGGGCGCTGGGCCTTAGGGCTTGGAGATTGCAAGCTTCGTCTGAGAATGTCTGTCTTCCCTGTCTAAGCTGAACCCCTCCCTATCCTGTTCTCGGCCACTGCTGCTAGAGGCCAGGCTGAACTCGCTACACCGCCTCGGTGGGCTCACCTTGTAGGAGTGGAGAGCCTCTCCAAGGGAGAGTAAAGGGGGCGGGGGCGGGGGTTTAATGCACGGAGAATCTCTCCTGCTTAAAGGAGGCTGGCCCTGAAGACATCAGGAGGCTCTGGCGAAGGTCCTTGTTGGAGTGGCGAATCGGTTTGAAGTTCTCTCAAGGTCACAAGTATCGACATTTAAAATTTTAATTATCAGAGGGCACAAGCACTGACTAGAAACGCACACACACACACACACACACACACACACAGAAGGAGAAAGCATTCCCCAGTGGGGTTTGGTTACATGCCATCTTCCTCATTTCTCTTCTACATCCTCTTGGGACTTGCGGCAGGTGCCCACTGACGCACGCACGCACGCACGCACGCACGCACTCACCCACCTGCGTGCCCCTGATGTATTTTTTCAAATCTGCAGAGTCAGGATTCAAACTACAGTCAGCTCTCTGAGATTGGGCTCTCTTAGCCACTCGGCCATGATGGCCTCCAAGTATTAACAGAAAATAAGATAATTGTGAACTTTCGTTACTAAATAAACTTGTTTCTTAGTTTTTTTCCCCCCAGGGGCTCTTACTGGCGACCACAATGGACAGTGTAGACAATGCTGATGTGAAAACTGGCACACTTCCTAAACTCAAGAGCTCAAAAGAATGGTTGAAACCACAGCCACTTGGTTTTATGGAGGTATAACAGTATGGCATTTTGAAGTTTTTATGTGGATAGTTACCATGAGAAGTAGCTTGTGCTAAAAGTAGTCATGCATGGCTTAGTAACTGTTTTCTGAGAAATGCATTGTTAGGCAGTTTCCTTACGGGAACATAAGAACATAATATTTTTTCACATACCTAGATTGTTTCGCCTACTATATACCTAGGCTATGTGATGTAGCCTATTATAATATTTTTAAGAGAGATTTTTGATATAGGGTGCCTGTGCTTGCCAGAGAGACAAACAGACAAAAAGTGAGAAATCACTCCCCCCCCCACGGTGGATCCCTTCTCAACTCCATTCTCTTCTTAGGAGTTTGGGTGTGCTTGCACATGTGCCCAGAGTGAGTTTCCAGTCACTAGGTCTGGGACTTGAACCACAGTTGGCCATGTGGGAGTCCAGTGATGTAACTATTGCACCATCTGCTGACCCCAGGCTATTATAATCTTTTAAAAGATTATTTTTACTTTATTTATAGAGTATAGGTACACCCATGTGAGCATGAGGGAGAGAGAGAAATGAGCACCTTCCACAGGGTCTGGTCACACGGCAATCCCCTTCTAGTGCTCTAGCCTTTAGGGGACTCAGTGCATGCACTGGGTGTGTTTTAGGCTAACCTGGCTGAGGATTTGAACTGTGATTACCTTGTGGGATTTGGCCTCTTTTGAGAAGAACATTATCTCTGTGCCAGGAAACTGGCCCTGTGTTAAAATCTGGTACGACTGTCATAATGTGTTTTACTGTTGACCAAAACATTATTATGTAGAGTACATGACTGTATGTTATCATTTCTATTTGTCTTCAATTTCATTCTTTTTTTTTGTGTATGTGAGAGATTTTTACTATAGGGCGCGTGTGCTCGCCAGAAAGACAGAGAGAGACAGAGAGACAGTAAGTGAGAAAGCACCCCCTGAGGGGATGGCCACACCACAATCCCTTCTCCTCCATTCTCCTCTCGGGATCTTGGGCACGCACGCACATGTGCCTGGAGTGAGTTTTAAACCACCGGGTCCGGGACTCGAACCGCAGTCGACTACGTGGGAGTCCAGCGACATAGCCATTACGCTAACTGCTGGTCCCTTCAATTTTATTCTTTTTAAATTATTCTCTTCACTGTACTTTGTATTTACTTTGATTTTCACTCTGCTCTTCATTTTTTAGCTTCTTTAAATGGAAACACAGGTCATTAATTATATCCTTTTACCAATGTAACAAAGCTGTAAGTTTCTCTTGAGTCACTGCTTTAGTTGTATCACCCACATTTTGATATATTGTATTATTTTTAGACTGTCATTTTATTAAGGTATAATTGATATACAACAACCTACATTTATGTGAAGTGTACAATTTGGAAAGTTTTGACATATGTGTACACATGTGAAACCATCACCACAATAAAAATAATGAACATATTTGATACTCCCAGTTTCCCCATCTTTGTGTCCCTTGGAAATCCCTTCCTGCCCAGCCCTCTCAGGAAGACACTGCTTTGCCAGCACTCTCATCTAGTTGTATTTAAATAATGTTATACGGTTGTAATCTTAGGGTATGTATTCTTTTCATTTCGTCTGTCTTCTTTCACGTGGCGTAGTTATTTTGCAGTTTATACATGTATGTATCAGCATTTTTTTCTGAACACTATTCCATTACATGGACATATTCCAGTTTGTCTACCATGTTGATGGACATTGAGGTTATTTCCAGTTCTGGGCTACTACAAATAAAGCTGTTACATTCATGTACATGTCTTTGTATGGCATACACTTTCATTTCTCTTAAAACGGAAGGATTAAGGATATGATAGCTGCCACAATCTTTTTAGGTGTTTCTTTGTCCAGAGTTTCTTTGGGTAGTTTTCCCATAGGCATACTGTGTTTAGCACTCCACTGAAGACTGAAGGAGGACTCTGCAGAGGTGATGCTTTTTGGATTTCTAGAGCACCTTCCCTGGGTTTCTTGTCTCCTTTTCATAGTCTGTCCCATGAGCTCTAGCTGTCCTGGTCTCCCCAGACTCCCAGCTTCCCTGCTCAGTTCCAGGGGGCAGCTGGGCTATTTTGTTCTTCAGAACCATTGTTCTTTATTGCCTGGTGTCAAATTGGGAGGCTGGGGCAGGAGGACAGGGAGTTTCTTAAAAAATGTTTTTTTTTTATCTTTGTTGTTTTTTCAGGTGTTCCCTGTTGCTCTGTCATGTCTGAAAATGAGAGTTCTCATCTAGCCATTATTTCTTCAAGTAGCTTTATCTGTTCTATTCTTTTTTTTTTTTTTTTTTTAAAGTTTTTCCATAGAGTGCATGTACTCGCTAGAGAGAGGCAGAGAGAGGGAAAATGAGAAATGAGAAATCACCCGTCCAGGGAGGATGGCTATTCCACAATTCCTTCTTCTCTATTGTCCTCTTGGGACTTAGGGCACACATGCACAAATGCCAGGCATGATTTTCAAGCTGTCATGTTTGGGCCTCGAACTGCAGTAGGCCATAGGAGAATCCAATGCCTTAGCCACCATGCTACGTGTTGGTCCCTCTGCTCCATTCTTGCAGTCCTCACTTCTGCAACTCTAATAACCCATTTACTAAATCTTTTTTCCTTTTTTTTTTTTCCCCTCTATGAGAGAGAGAAGGAGTGAGAAAATGGGGAGACAGAGAAAGGTATTTTTAACAGGGGCTCTTTGTATTATAGTCCTCCTGCCCCAGCCTCCTAATTAGCTAGGATCACACCATTGTGTTCATGTTGGTCCAGGAACTGAACCTGTGCCTCTCATGTAGCTTCAGGCCTCCCAAAGTATAGTACTATCTATGTACCTCCAGCTGGGCCTGTTGAATCTTTTGATACTGTCTCAGATATCACTGCAGCTCTGTTCTTTATTTTCCAATTTTCTCTTTGTCGAGAATGGAGAATTTCTAATGATCTGTCTTCAAGTTCTTTGGCTGTTTTAATGTCATATTTGATCTGTTAAATCCACTGAGGTCTGGTTGTTTTTAAAATTTAAGGACTGTGGGGCTGGCAGGTAGTGTGGTGATTGAGGCGCTGGACTCCCATGTGGCTGACCACAGTTCAAGTCCCAGACCTGGTGGCTTATTCTTTCCCTTTCCCTCTCTCTCTCTCTCTGGTCAAACTGAAAATAATAATAATTAACTAATTAATAAAAATAAATACATTTTTTTAAATTTAAGAATTGATTTTTTTTTTCTTATGGGGAGAGGCACCCCCTATGGGGAATGGTCACTCTGCTATCCCTTCTTCTCCGTGTCTTCTTTCTTTGAGGATTTTGGGCATGCATGCATGCATACACACCCAGTGTGTTTCTCGGACTGCCTGGTCTGGGACTCCAATCGTATGGTCAACTGTGTGGGATCCAGTTGTCTTAACCAACAGGCCATGGAGCTGGCCCAGTTTTTTGTTTGTATGTTTGTTCATTTGCTTCACAGTTTGTTTCTCTCCTGAAATTTTCTATCCATTCACTATCATATTTTCCTTTAACTTTTTAAGCACAGCTATAATAGCTATCCTAAAATGATTGCCTTCTAATTCCAATATATGGCCCATCTCAGAGTAGATCTACATTAATTGCCCCCTTTTAAAAATATTGATCATATTTCCCTGTTTCTTTGTGTGTCTAGTAATTCTAGGTTATATATTGGACATTATAGGGTCTGGATTCTGTTGTATTCCTCAGAAGAATATTGAGCTTTTGGTTTAGCAGAATGTTAACTTAGCTAAATTCAAACCAAATTTTGTTTCTTCTGCAGTTATCAGCAAATGAAATCACTAGTCTTTTTAAGGTTTATTTGGGCTGCACAAAGTCTGTTTCGTATATGCGCAGTTCAAGAGTCTACCAGAGATTTGGTCAGATTTCATTTGCAAAATGTATGGCATTCCTTCTGTGGCTCTCTCCTTTAGGGTGCTCAGATTTTGTGATTGTCTTAAACTCTGTCTTCTAATTCCTAAACTAGTAAGGCTGCATATTTCTCTCTGGGGTTTAGACCTTCTTTAGCTCTGACTGAGGTCTATTCTTAGGCAAAAGTCCATAAAAAAATCCCTGAAATTTCATTCACTGATGTTTTCTTTGTTCAAATATCAATTCCCAGTTCTTCCTATTTTTTTCATCACTTTGCTGTTTCTTCATGTTGTTGTTTTTATTTTTTGTCTAGTATATTAATTGAGTACCCACCTTGTTTGAGAACAGAGTTACCAGAAGAATAGACTTACCAACTCTGAGTCAAAAAGGACAAGACAATGAACTGGAGTTAGACACATATAAATTTAAGTTCTGGTTGAGCTCAGGATTTTCTGGGCTTCTAGTTGTCACTTAACTTCAATGAACCTTACCTTCCTTGAGTGTTAATGGGGAAGGATAGTTTTTAGATTATGAGATTGTATTCATCTGTTCTGGAAACAAGAGTAGAGGAACTGGGCCAGGTGGTGGTTAGTGTAATGCAACTGGACCCACATGGAAAAGATCCTAGGTTCATATCCTAGGACCGCCTGAGCATGTCTGGCTCATTTGTTTGTGATATGGGCCGGCTGAGACCAGGGGTAGATCATGATGTGAAGATCCTGTTGGGGATGCCCATCCCACTTTCTGTATCCCTCTCTTTGGAGAAATAAATGAATAAAAGTTTAACAAGAATAGTGAGACTGAGAAGTGGCTTGGTGGTAATGTGCTGCTCAAGCAAAGTTGCATCCATATAGATGATCATGGGTTCAGTTCCCCATAGGTTTGGCTAGTTGGGACTACAATGTAGGACCCTATTGAAGGTGCTTATCTTTCTCTCAAACCACGTGGTCAACATCTCACACTCTCCATCGCTCGCACTCATGAAATAAACTTAAAAACAAAAACAACACCCCCCCACCCCCGGAAAACAGTAGGAAGACCAAAGACAACCACTTCCACTGACAGTTAACTTGAGAATAATTTCAAAGGCAATTCTGTACTATAAATAAACTTTACTTTTTTCTTTTTTTTGAGAGGTTTTCGCAATAGGGCGCGTGCGCTCGCCAGACAGACAGAGACATAGAGATAGAAAGTGAGAAATCAACCCCCAGAGGGGATGGTCACGCCACAATCCCTTCTCTTCCATTCTCCTCTCAGGATCTTGGCCACGCACACACACGCGCCCGGCGTGAGTTTGAAGCCACCGGGTCCGGGACGCGAACCGCGGTTGACTATGTGCGAGTCCAGCGACATAGCCATTACGCTAACTGCTGGTTCCCATAAACTTCTTTACTTTATGGCAGATATTTAATTATGGAATATTTGTTATGAGAATGGAAAAAATTAAGTTTTGAAGAGTGTGTTGCCTTAAATCCAAAAAATGTAACTTGTATATAAAAATATTTATCATTAATGTTTATTTGACAGTGATAGAGTCTTCATTAATGATAAATAAATTTATTCCAGTTCCCTTTAAGTCCATATTGTCTGAGAAAAGTTGTTTCAGTCTTTTAGATAATTTGTCAATTATAATAGAAAAATTAAGTAAATGAATATAAGACTTTAAGAGAATTTCTTTTTATTTCACAAAAAGTTTCTTTTGAGAAAATCCAATCACCTGTTTGATTAGAATTTTGTATCATATATAGTTATAAATTTATGGATAAAAATATAACTTGTTTCTCTGACTTATTTTATCTACAGTTTTGTATTGCAGCTTTTGTTAGATTTTCAAAACCAAAATTGGTAGATTCATTATGGAAAAACAAGAAAACGAGATTGAATATAAATGCTTTCTAAGAACTTCTGTTATTTTAAACTAGCAGCATTTTATCTAGGCATGGTGTTTGCCTTAGGTGGCAATAAGTTTTTAGTAAAACCATTGATACAGTCTTAGCTAGAGAGAATCAAGACTGTCTTATCAAAAAGACTCAAGTGGAGGGTGGCTGTATTCTTTTTAACCCATAAAGGTAAAAACATTTTACGGGATATGAAAAAAGGTAGGCAAGTCTTCACCACTCTTACATATGCAATGTCTGTGAGCTGAGTTCCTTTTTCTGTCTCAGAATGAGCTGTTACCAAAAGCAGAAAGATTCAAATAATCTAAAAAGTACATGATGTGTTTTGAAGTAGAAAAACCTAGTTTTAAAGATAACTTTTTGGGGATATGTCTATTACATAAAATTAGTCCAGATAATACTGACTTAATTTTTTTCAAGATTTGATTTTCAATATTTAATTCTGTCTTTTTAGGCTTTAGCTAAAGAAGATATTGATGCAGCTGTTCAATCAATATTATATAGAGAAAACTATGTAATGAAGGTAAGAATTGGCTACAAAATGCGTCTCAGTTAAAAATTAAATTGTTGTTCCATTTTATATGTAGTGCACTCTGTACAAACTTTAGAAAGTACAGAAAAGAGGGGACGGCAGGTGGCATGATGGTTAGAGGCGCTGGACTCCCACAGGGCCGACTGCAGTTTGAGTCCCAGACCTAGTGGCTTGCTTTCTCACTTTCCCTCTCTCTCTCTCACTCTGTCCCTCTCTGGTCAAATTAAAATAGATAACTAAATAAAGTTAAATAAAATAATTCTTTAAAAAAATAAAGAAAAGAGAATTAAAAATACTCATTAATGTCTAGACTGCTTTACTAGACTTCTTCTCTTCCTATACTTTGTGTGGATTTCTTCACAGATATGGTAGAAGATGTTTCCTCTACTCACTTGTTCCTTTATTTTAGTGACATTTCTATAGTCACTATGAATGAGCTAATCCTTAAGAGCTTTTATTGGAATACACAATTATTACTCAGGTCTACATAGGTAAGAACAATGGTTTAACTATAGCGGATGAACCTGATGAGACAAGAACACCAGGTAAAGTTACTAAATATTGGGGGACCAGCAGTTGGAGTAATGGCTATGTCGTGGACTCCCATGTAGTCGACCACAGTTCGAGTCCCGGACCCAGTGGCTTAAACTCACACTGGGCGCGTGTGCGTGCGTGCCCAAGATCCTAAGAGGAGAACAGAGGAGACGGGATTGCGGCATGGCCATCCCCCCTGGGGGTGATTTCTTGCCTTCTGTCTCTCTGTCTCTGTGTCTTTCTGGCAAGTGCACGTGCCCTATAGCAAAAACCTTAAAAAAAAATGTTACTATATATTGGAATGGGAAACCCATTTTCTTTTTTAAGAATTTTCTTTAGAGTTCTTTAAAAAGAAAAAGGACTGTCATTGGGAATGGCTGAAATATGCCATGACCTGAAGTTAGAGAGTAGCATGGCCCAGTTCTCAAGGTAATTAATATATATATTTTTTATTTTGAGTATCATGTTGAGCCTAGTAATCATACTATTTAATCTGCTGTATAAAGGTGGATGAAAAATTTTGGTAAGAATGACACTAACCGGGAGCCGGCAGGTGGTGTGGTGGTTAAGGCACTGGAATTCCCACATGGCTGATCATGGTTCAAGTCCCAGATCTGGTGGCTTGCTTTCTCTCTCTCTCTCTCTCTTTCTGTTTTTCTCTGGCAAAACTCATGTGAAAATAATAATAATAAATTAAGTAAATAATTCTTTTTTAAAAATTACACTAATCAAATGTCATCTTTGCAGGCCACTTGGCATTTGGACCAACTTGTACTACACTTCTGCCTCTTTGCTCTTGTTCCCCCTTGCCCCAGAATATTCCTTCCCATTATCTACCATCCCTCCTTTTCCTGGGTAACTCTTCATTCTTTAAGGCCCAGCCCAAATGCCTCCTGCTTTGGGATCTTTTTCCCATTGTGGTAGAATATACACCAGACAAAATTAGCCATTTTAACCACTTTTAGTAGGCAGTTTGGTATGCACAATGTCGCACAATCACTTTTTCCAAACTTTTTCATCACCCTGAACTAAAACTTTGTTCTCTAGAAGCAGTAACTCCTTACTTCCCCCTCCCTGAAGCCCCCAGCAACCTCTAACCTGCTTTCTGCCTCTATGAATTTTGCCTATCCTAGATTTTTCATACACGTGAAACCCTTTTGTGTGTTTTTCTTTTGTGTCCAGCTTATTGCACTTAGGCAAACCGTTTTCAAGGTTCATCCATGTTCTAAACATGCATCAACTCCACTCCCTTTTATGGCGGAATAATGTTCTATTAAATGTATATACCATTTTGTTCACACATTCATCTATGGATGGCCATTTGGGTTGTTTCCATCTTTTGTTTATTGTAAATAATGCTGCAGTAAACATGGGTGAACACGTCTCTATGTGAGTCCCTGTTTTTAATTCTTTTGGAGCTAGCCCTAGGAGGGAATTGCTGGGTCATATGGGAATTTCATTTAACTTTCTGAGGGACTGTCAAACTGGAGATCTTTGAAGACTCTTAATTTTTTTTTCTTCTGTGTATCTTCAATTACTTCATGTGTAGTATGACATATGTGCGTATATGACTTGCTATATTGCTCCTTTTATGTTGTTTTAGACTGTTGCTCCAGGAAAGCAGGGATATTGCCTCAATTGTCTGTGTATGTCCTGTTCCTAGGATAGTGTGTCACATAGTACAAGCCAAATCAGTGTATCTTCAATTACTTCATGTGTAGTATGACATATGTGTGTATATGACTTGCTATATTGCTCCTTTTATGTTGTTTTTAGACTGTTGCTCCAGGAAAGCAGGGATATTGCCTCAATTGTCTGTGTATGTCCTGTTCCTAGGATAGTGTGTCACATAGTACAAGCCAAATCAGTGACTGACGTAATGAATGCCTTTGTGGATTATTCTTAGGAATAATTTAAATTTATGAAGGTTAAGTTTTAGAAAATTTTTGAACAAGAAATCTTTAGGATAATATATTTGTCTTTTAAATCATTGTTTACCAGGAACTAGATAAGTATTTACAACATCATGACTTCTTAAATACAAGAAGAAAAGAGATGTTATATAAAAAGTGGGCTGATCGTGTGGCAGACCCTCTCCAGAAGAGAATTGTAGAGAAAGTTTGTTCACATAAGGAGATTACAAAAAGAAGACAAGAGGAATTAGACAGTTTTTTAAAACATGCAAATAAAAAGGTACTTGGAGATCATTTGATACTTTTTTCAACTGGTTTAAGAAGTATGGTTATCTTTGTTTTTAATATTTGGTTTTGTAACTTTTTTCTTAACTTAACTTTATTTATTTTAATTCGACCAGAGAGGGACAGAGCAAGAGAGAGAAGAGCGAGGAAGAAAGTGAGAAAACAAGCCTCTGGGCCCAGGACTTGAACCATGGTCAGCCATGTGGGAGTCCAGCACCCTTAACCACCATGCCACCTGCTGGCCCCTAGAAATATGGTAGTCTTTGTTCATTTGTAATCATACAAACACCTTGGCCCTCCCCACCCTACATATGTACAATCTACACTCTAAAGTATTCTTAAATACAGTGCATATGGAAAGGATGAAAGAGCAGAGTTAGGTATAGATTTAACTGTATATATTAAAATTTTTATTTTTCCCGTATAATTATTCATTTTATTTACCAGTTTGAAAAATTTGGACTATAGGTTCAGAACATTTTGTTTTGTTTTGAAATCTGCTTTGCAAAGCTATGAAATATTTTTGTTCTTCTGGCATTAAAATTTTTATTTTTTTATTTTTTTTTTTTTAGGTTTTTGCTATAGAGCATGTGTGTTCACAGGAGAGAGACAGAAAGGAAAATTGAAAAATCACCCCTAGGAGGTATGGCCATGCTGCAATCCCCTCTCCTCCATTTTCCTTTCAGGATTTTGGGCATGTATGCACATATGCCTGGCATGATCTTCAAGCTGCCAAATCTGGGACTCAAACCGTGGCTGGCCATATGGAAATCTAGTGCCTTAACCACCATACCACCTGCTGGTCTGGCATTTTTGAAAGATCTAAGGGCTCGCCACAGTGGTAGGTCTCATGGGAGGATCTTGGTTCTGTCCTGAGGTTTCCCTGTGCATGCCTGTGATCCTGGCTGACTGTGTTGTAAAGACCCTGTTAGGGATGCCTCTGTCTTAGAATGAATAAATAAATGAATGAACGAATAACTTTAAAAAAAGAGATTTGATATTTGACTAGAATATAAAAATAAATTCCCAAATCTTGTGTTGTTCCAATAGGTTTTATTAAAATCCTGCTAATTAAGTAGATTCTGTCTATCACTATAATATTTATAATTTGAATAAATTAAATTTCAAATATGGTCTTATTTTCCCGTTTGAATTTCTTTTTTATGCCACTTTGAAGTATGACAATGAAACCATGTGTTTGGCTCTCGAGTTCTGAAAGGTTCAAAATTAACTGTGTACTTCTTGTTCTTATGTATGGTTTTATTTCCTTCTTATAGGGAAATGTATTTATAGAACATTATGACCCAAAAGAGTATGATCCTTTTTATATGAGCAAAGAGGACCCTAATTTTCTAAAGGTAGGGTAGATTTTTTATTTTAATTTTGGTATTATGTGTTTAGTTCTGAGCAGCCTAATATGAGTAGTCCTTTAGTAAATTCATAAAAATGCAGTAACATTTTAGGAGTAGTTTTTTTTTTCACCATATCTTAGAAAGGAACAAAAAGATCAAAGTAAATGAAATCTCTGTAAATTCTGCAAATCTTGTATAATAATTGAGTATTCAGTAATGTTTAAAAATTTCTTAGACTTTTAGGACTAGCAGATGGTGTCATGATTACATCGCTGGCCTCCCACATAGCCAGCCGCAGTTTGAGTAAAACTTACGCTGGGGGGACCAGCAGTTGGTGTAATGGCTATGTTGCTGGACTCCCATGTAGTTGACCTCAGTTTGAGTCCCGGACCTGGTGACTTAAACTCATGCCGGGTGTGTATGCATGTGTGCCCAAGATCCCAAGAGAAGAATAGAGGAGAAAGGACTGTGGTGTGGCCGCCCCCCCTGGGGGGGTAATTTCTCGCTTTCTATCTCTGTCTTTCTGGTGAGCGCATGCGCCCTATAGCAAAAACTTCTCCAAAAAACCCCAAACAAACAAAAATAAAACAAAAAAACAAGCTTAGGCTGGGTGTGCACACGTGTGCATATGTGTGTGAGTGAGTGCCCAAGATCCCAAGAGGAGAATGGAGAAGAAGGAATTGCGGCATGGTCATCCACCCTGGCCCCCAGCGGGGGATGATTTCTCACTTTCTGTCTCTCTGGTGAGCACATATGCCCTATAGCAAAATCTCTAAAAGAAAAAAAAAAATCTGTGTTAGGAAATGGAAGTATGCAAAGAACACTTCTGCTGTGTACTAAAATATATGGTATAACTGCTTGAACTGACTGGTCTACATATATATATATGTATATCACATACGTGTATATACATGTGTATATATTTTATAGAACACCATTTTTACTTGAAAGAATGATTTATGAACTATGGTTATTAAGTCTAGGGTATTTGGCAGACATTTTCAGGAAAATTAATGAAGTAAGTCTGTCACATCAAGGAAAACTACTGACAATATTGTTGCCAATGATAACATGTGAACTTTCACAAGACATTTGAATTTTGTAAAACTCGTATTCTCCATCCTAAGTGTGAAAGTGGTCCAGAAAGCCTAAGTTTTTCTTTCTTTCTTTTTTCTTTTTGTTTTCTCTCTTTTTTTATCCCTAGAGGGCACCTGCACTTGCCAGAGAGAGAGATTTAGAAAGTACTTCCCATAGGGAATGGTCATGCTACAACCAACCCCTTCTCCACCATTTCTCCCTTCTTTCACAGTTCTGGGCATAAATGCATATGTGTTTCTCTAGCTGCCAGGTCTGGGACTTGAACTGTTAGGCCAGTCACATGGGCTCCAACTGCCTTAACCTTTGGGACACAGAGCTGGCCCCCAATACCCAAGGCTTTTTAAAAAATTATTTATTTGGGACCAGCAGATGGTGTAATGGCTATGTAGTCGACCACAGTTTGAGTCCTGGTCCCGGTGGCTTAAACTCATGCCAGGCACGTGTGTGTATGTGCCCAAGATCCCAAGAGGAGAATAGAGGAGAAGGTTTTTTCCGCCCCCCCCGGGGGGGGGGGGGGTGATTTCTCACTTTCTGTCTCTCTGTCTCTCTTGTCTTTCTGGTGAGCGCACATATCCTATAGCAAAATCTTCTCAAAAATTATTTATTTTATTAATTTATTATTTATTATTATTGTTTTTAAAAAATAATTATTTATTTTATTTTATTTATTCATTCATTTATTTCTTAATTTGACCAGAGAGAGACACAGAGGGTGAGAGTGAGAGAGAGAGGAAGTGAGGAAGCAAGCCACCAGATTCAGGACTTGAACCCTGGTCAGCCATGTGGGAGTGTCCTGCGCCCTAACCACCACGCCACCTGCTGGCCCCCATTATTGTTGTTTTTAAATTTGCTATAGGGCACATGTGCTCACCAGAGAGAGACACACACAGAGAGAGGGAAAGTGAGAAAGTAAGCCGCTAGGTCTAGGACTTGAACTGCAGTCATGTGGGAATTCAGCACCTTAACCACCATGCCACATGCTAGCCCCACTACCCAAGATTTTTACTAATGATATCAATACTAATATTAGTGATCGTGATTCTTTGATACTGTATAACGAAATATATAAACATTCAGAAGATCTTGTATAACTCAGTGATCCAGTTTCTTTCCCAAACAACCATGTCATGATGTTACAAAATCATGCATGGGAATGACATTCATTCAAAAGGAAGGGGCCAGCCTGAGGTATGTTGGTTAAAGTGACTATATCTCACATGGTTATTTTGTGTTTTGAGTCCTGGACCCGGCAGCTTGAGAAACACGCTGAGCATGTGTGCATGCATGCCCAAACTCCTATAAAAAGGGAGAAATGGAAAAGAGATTGCGCTGTGACCATTCATGTGTGTGTGTGTGTGTGTGTGTGTGTGTGTGTGTGTTGGGGCGGGGAGGCTGCTTTATCACTTTGCCCCTGTCTCTCTCTCTCAAGTGAATGTCCTCTAGCAAAATTAAAAAAAAAAAAAACAAAACAACTGAAAGATAAAGACAGACCAATGAATTTTAACTGATAAAACTATGGCTTTTTGGCAAGATGGCGGAGTACGACTTGACTACTCGCATTGCTCACTTTTTGGACCGTCATCTAGTTTTTCTGCTCCTTGAATTTCTCTCTGGAAAGGTGACACAATGAAAAAGAACTGTTACAAGGGAAATTGGACCTTCTTAGTGATACCAACATGGTAGACTCTGCTATGGATGTATACAAAAACCTTCATTCTGATGATATTCCTCATGCTTTGAGAGAAAAAAGAACCACAGTTGCTGCACAACTGAAACAGCTTCAGGCAGAAACAGAACCAATTGCGAAGATGTTCGAAGACCCAGAAACTACAAGGCAAATGCAGTCAACCAGGGATGGCCGGATGCTGTTTGACTATCTGGTAAACAAGCATGGTTTTAAGCAAGAATATTTAGATACACTGTACAGGTATGCAAAATTCCAATATGAATGTGGAAATTACTCAGGAGCAGCAGAGTATCTTTACTTTTTTAGAGTTTTGGTTCCAGCAACAGATAGAAATGCTTTGAGTTCACTCTGGGGAAAACTGGCCTCTGAAATCTTAATGCAGAATTGGGATGCAGCCATGGAAGCCCTTCCATGGTTAAAAGAGATCGTAGATAACAATTCTGTGAGTCCTGCACTCCAGTCTCTTCACCAGCGAACATGGCTCATTCACTGGTCTCTGTTTTCCTCACCCTAAAGGCCGTGATGATATTACGGGGCTCTTTCTTTACCAGCCGCAGCACCTCAATGCAGTTCAGACAGTGTGTTCACCTCTTCTCCGCTACTTGACTATGGCAGTCATAACAAAGATGTCCGAAAACGCTGGCAGGTGCTAAAAGATCTAGTCAAAGTTACTCAGCAGGAGTCTTACACATAGAAAGACCCAATTACAGAATTTATTGAATGCTTGTATGTAACATTGATTTTGATGGAGCTCAGAAAAAACTGAGAATGTGAATCAGTGCTTATAAATGACTTCTTCTTGGTGGCTTCTCTTGAGGACTTTATTGAAAATGCTCGTCTATTCATATTTGAGACTTTGGTCACATACCAGTGTATCAGCATTAACATGTTGGCAGATACACTGAACATGACTCCAGAAGAAGCTGAAAGGTGGATTGGGAATATGATCAGAAATGCAAGATTGGATGCCCAGATTGATTCCAAATTAGGTCATGTGGTTATGGGTAACAGTGCAGTCTCACCCTATCAGCAAGTGATTGAAAAGACCAAAAGGCTTCCGTTTAGAAGCCAGATGCTGGCCATGAATATTGAGAAGAAACTTAATCAAAATAGCAGGTCAGAGGCTCCTAACTGGGCAACTCAAGACTGGCTTCTACTGAAGAACGGTAAAGAAAGGATGAAAAAACTATAAAAGGAATATGAAATAATAATATCATTATATAAATGGTGACATACATTTTAGAAGCAATATATTGAGTATGGATTTTGGAAAAGTTGAATGAAATTGGCTGTGGTTCAAAAGAAATTGAGAAAACTATGAAAAATTCATTGATTTGGTTGTTTTGTTTTGGGAGAGTTTTTGTTTTGTTTTGCTATAAGGCATGTGCTCGCTGGAGAGACAGAGAGACAAAAAGCAAGAAATCACTCCCTGGGGGGAATGACTACGCTGCAATCCCTTCTCCGTTTCTTCCTTCTCATGGGAGGGGTTTGGGCAAACACACAAATGCACTGCAGTTCCCTCCCCTCAATTCTCTTGAGATTTTAGGCACACACGTACATGTGCCCTGTGTGAGTCTGGCTTGTTTCTCAAGCTGCAGGGTCTGGGACTTGAATCATGCAGTTGGCCATGTGGGATCCAGCTATCCAACCACCATGCCACTGGCTGGCCCACACTATATTTTTAAAAAATATATTTATTTAAAAAAATATATGCTAAATATAATAGACATTACTGTTACTTAAAAATGAATAATCAAAAAATTCTCAGTTTTTATTTCCAATATAGTAAATTTCAACAGATCTAGCCTATATACACAAAAGTTCTTTGGAAATAACAGTCTTAAAATAATTTGAGAATCATTGGATTATAATACTTCATTCAGGTTCTTATAATTGGTCTACACCTGCTTGTCAGTAGAGAGAGGAGAAAGGAGATACTTATAAATTGTTGAAAAAACTTCAGAATGTTCTTTGTTTCTCTCTTTCATTTAAAATTTGATTTGCTGTTCATATATCAATACGTCACATACAAATACTTGAAAACGAAAGTACCATTTTTGTCTTTTTCTTATAGTAAGTTAATATATTCTTAATAGCTTATAAGTATCTTCTAGAGGACAGTCTGATCACTGCTTATTTTAATCCTGGTCATGTTGTGTATTATCATTGTCTCAGGAAAACAAGCCTGATTGTTGTCAGAAAGATGCATGAATGATCCTTTTAGCTTATGGTAGAAATTCACTCTTTAGACTAGACCATGAATGTGACTGTTATTGACTGCAATTTTCTTATACAGAACTGTCATTTTGATATTGGTAATATTGGCCATTAAAATAGATTTAGTGTTTCAATATCTTGGCTCATAAATGGTCTACATTTTGGTTAAGTTTTCATAATTATTCATTATTTTTTGATTATGGATATTAGGAATGAAGATAAATACATATATTTTTTCCTTTTCTGCATAGGAAAGGAATTTTTAAATTTGGGAATATATAGCAAAAAAAATCTTTGTTTGAAACAGGAGGTAACCTTGCTCTTTGTCTGGTGGGCCTTATTGAGAGAGACATTGGGGCACCCTCATCTCTTTGTGATGTGTTAAATATATAATGGTAAGCCTGCTATTAGTCTGTAGATGGTATTGTTGACTTTCTGACATAAGAGCCATATGGGATACTTCAAAAAGTTCATGGGAAAATGAAAATAAAGTATGCCTTTTTATGCAAAAATATTGAAACCCATGCTTTTCCATAATACATATTTTCTATGACATTTTCAAAGACCCTCATAAGTGGATGTTTGGGATAGACTGAAAATGTTTAATACTCAGATCTGCAACCCAGTCCTCAAATAAGTACTTTTTTTGTAGGTTACTGTGCCACCATTTCGTGATCCTTTGAAAAAAGCACAGTATGACAAGGACAATGAGAAAAGAATTCTTCTTCAGTGTGAGACTGGTACTTAGTTCCTGACTGTTATGTGATTCTGTAGCCCAAGAGTAATGGCATTTAAGGGTGCTAATTAAATTACTAATCATTCTGCAGGCAAGACATATACGATGAGAGAATTTAAAGAGGTTGAGAAGGCACAACTGAGTTCCAGATTCCCAAGAATTTCTACTTCAAGGCACTTTATGACTCCAAATGAGTGGCTTAAAGTGCCTACAAGATACATAGAAAGTGAATTCTGTAAAAGGAGCAGGTAACAGTTCAGATAATAGTAACTATGAAATCCCCTTGGACTTAAAAAATCCTTCTTGAGACAGTAATATATTTTTTTCATAGTTATGATTTCATTTTATTTCATTTTTAAATGTGAAATCCATTACAATTCTTACCTTTGTTTCTCTGCATGTGATGTTTCTTTTTTCTTAGGTACTTTCAAGATTTTTCCCTTTATCTTTGGTTTTCACTAGCTAAACTATGATGTGTCTAGGTTTGTCTCTCTCTGTCTCTTTAACTTAGTGTTCTCTGAGATTCTTGAATATGTGGTTTTATATCTTTAATCATTTGGCAGAAATTCTAGACCATTATTACTGCTACTATTTCTTAGTCCAAATTCTCTCATTCTCTGCTTTCCTTTTTTCCTTTCTGAGACTCCAATATGTAGGTTAAATCATTTGATCATGTCCCACAGTGCTATGGCTCTTTGATACTGTTCTGTTTTTTTGTGTGTGTGTTTCACTCATTTTTCTCCTATTTGTGTGTGTGTGTGTGTGTGTGTGTGTGTGCGTGTGTGTGCGTGTGTGCGTGTGTGCGTGTGTGTGTGCATGTGTGTGTGTGCGTGTGTGCGTGTGTGTGTGTGTGCCAGAAAGCACATGTACTCACTAGATTCAGAGAGAGAAGGAAAGGAGAAAGCACCTCCATGGGGTGTTGGTAGTACAATCTCTTCTCCTCCATTTCTCCATTCTATTGGGATTTGGGGCACAAATACATGTGCCCTAGCATGTTTTTCCAGCTTCTGTGGCCAGGACTTAAACCACTCAGTTGGCCATGAGGGATCTGGCTTCCTTAACCACCATAGGCTGATGCTCCTATTTGTATTTTAGTTAGATGATTTCTACTGACCTATCTTTAAATTTACTGAGAATTTCCTTAGCTGTGTTCCGGCTACTAAAGAACCCATCAAAGAAATTCTCATCTCTGATGGAGAGAGAGAGAGATAGAGATAGAGAGAGAGAAAAAGACAAACACCCTCATCAGGGTCTCAGGCCACGATCCTTCTCACAGGACTCCAAGCCAGCCAGGATCAAGGGTGCACGCACATGTACCCGCTGTGTACAGGTCAGCCTGAAGGATAAACCTTGATATCTATATGGCTTCCAGCATTTCAGAATGTTTAATTACTACTGTACTACCACAGCTGGGCCTATATTTTTTATTTCTAGCCTTTCTGTTTGATTTTTTAATGTAATTTTAATTTTCCTAAAATTTTCTATCTGTTCATGCACATTGTCCCATCTTTTATATAAATTTTTTACCATATTAAGCATGGTTATTTAAATTCCCTATCTGGTAGTTCTTTTTTTCCCCCCTAAAGAATTAATTAGTTAATTAATTGTTATTCAATTTGACCAGGGAGAGACAGAGAGAGAGAGGGAGAATGAGAAAGCAAGTCACCAGATCCAGGGCTTGAACCATTGTTGGGCATGTTGGAGTCCAGCGCCTCAACTACCATGCCAACCTGCCAGCCCTGCCTATCTGAGAGTTCTAACATTAGGGTCAATACTACTAGTGGTTGCTAGCAACCCTTGGTGCTCCTGTTTTGCAACTTTATCACTCTACTGTCTGCCTCCATCATCACATGATCTTTTATTTTTATTTATTTATTTTTTTGAGAGGTTTTTGCTAGAGGACGTGTGCGCTTGCCAGAAAGACAGAGAGACAGAAATTGAGAAGTCACCCTCCCGCTCGGGGAGATGGCCATGCTGTAATTCTTTCTCCTCCATTCTCCTCTCAGGATCTCGAGCACACACGCACATGCGCCTAGTATGAATTTAAGCCACTGGATCCGTGACTTGAACCACGGTGGACTACATGGGAGTCCAGCAACATAGCCATTACACCAACTGCTGCTCCCCATCACATGATCTTCTATATCTATGTCCAAAATTCTTTCTTCTTATAAGGACACATATGATTAGATTAGATTAGATTAGATTAGATTAGATTAGGGACCACTCTAATCCAGTAGTACCTTTTTTTTTTTTTTTTCCAATCCAGTAGTGCCTTTTTTTTTTTTTTTTTTTTTAAATCTTGACTACATCTGCAAAGACCCTATTTCCAAATAAAATAACATTCACAGATACCAGTGACTAGGACTTGAATGTAAATTTTGGGGGTCATGCAGTTTAACCCAGAGTATCAGATTGATTCATTCAATCAAAGAATCATGTATTAAGTTGTAATTGCCTATAAAAAGCTCACAATCTAATAGAGAAGACATATATTTAAATAGATCTCAACATGGCAAATGCAATAATACTGATATTTACATGTCATTATGGAAGCACAAAGGAGGGACACTTAACCCAGCCTAATAGAACTAGATAAAGGTGGGAACCTGCATAGAATAGAAAAACGAGGAGCATCCGTTTCTTGAGATTTAAATCATCCCATGTGCTACTTTACAATTGTATTAATTTAAACAATGATGAGTCAGGGTACACCGAGAGGAAACCTATCCGAAATCGAGGAGCATCCGTTTCTTGAGATTTAAATCATTCCATGTGCTACTTTATAATTGTATTAATTTAAAAAATGATGAGTTTGGGTACACCAAGAGGAAACCTATCCGAAATTAACAGGCAGGAATTCTGGGCAAGCTCTGTAACAGATGCAGATGTGGGAGAAGGCTACAAAGAGAACTACACGTATCCCATTTCCCTTTAATTTCATACCTCATTTCTGGGATTATTTTCCTTTTTTTTTTTTCTGAAGGTCAGTATTTGAAATTAAATTTTTACCTACCTGAAATGTCTTTATTTTACCTTCATTCTTTAATTTGCTGAGTGCAGTTCTAGATTAACGTTTATTGATTTTTAAATTTGCTGTTTGAAATTAAATTTTTATCTACCTGAAATGTCTTTATTGTATCCTCATTCTTTAATTGCCGAGTTCAGTTCTAGATTAAGATTTACTTATTTATTTATGAATTTGCTAGAAGATACATAGTCTTGCTGGAAAAAAGAGAAAAGGAAAGAAAGCACTCTACCCATGGGGTCATGCCACAGTCCATTCTCCATTTCTCTATGCCACACATGCTCAGCATGTTTTTAAAGCCTCTGGGTCCAGGACTCTGCATAATCGGCCATGTGAGTTCCAGCCACCGTAACCACCATGCCACTGGTTGGCCAACATTTATTTTTTTCAGATGCTTTAAAGATATTTCTCTCTCTGACTCTGTCTCTTTCAGTATCTATTGTTTTTTAGAAGTCTGCTGTCATTTTGATTGTCCTTGTCTGTAGCTGCTTTTTTTTTTCCTATTTACTATGTAAAGTTTATTAGCATTTGAAGGAGATACTCTTACTTACGCAGTTAAGGTCGGGGTGCTCAGGACAGCAGGTGGTGTGGGAACCTTTGCTGTAAAATTTGGAAATGCATAGTGGTCCTTGGCATCCTGGCACAGTCAGCCCTCCCCAGAAGAACTCTGCAGTACTGGGCAGCGTGAGCCAGAGACTACACAGTTCAATAGGCTTGCTTCTGTCTTCATTCTTCTTCACTTTCATTTGCAGGATCTAAATCAGAATCTCCACTTAACTCCTTTTCACTTGCTACATCTCTGTCCTCACCATTTTCTTTGGTGTCTTCATCTTCCTCTTCATTTTCATGAACATCTTCTTCTTTTTCACTTTCTTTCTCTTCCTCATCTTCATCCCAATTATCATCTGAATCCTCATCTGCTATTTCATCATCAGACTCCTCTGCAGAAGATTCTTCATATACCAGCTTTGCCTTCTGTCCAGGGGAAGTCATTCCCTTTGTTTTATCTGATGCTGTAGCTTGTGTGGTTAGAGGAATAAGCTTTCCATGAAGATGTGAGAGTTCCTGAAAAGTTTCGACTCTGATTTCCACCAGCTGGTAGAGCGTCCCAAGCTGGGGCACCAGGTCAGGCAATGTGGATAGGTATGATGCGTGGGGACCATTAACGCTCCTTTCAGCCACTGAACGTGAAAACAGCACTATCAGGATGTCCTTGCAACCTCTTTGTAAGCATGCAGGGGCATTGTTAACACAGTCCTCTTTATTAGGTTCGAATTCCTAGTTTACAGTACTTTATTATTTAGCATTTCCAAATCATTACTTTCTAAACCTTGTGCAAGAAGAACTGGAAAGCTATTGGTCTGTAGAAGGCCATTCTTTTCTTTCTTTGTCTCTATATCCATTGCTCCCAGGCGTTCTTCAAGGCTAACCGCATTTCCCCCTAATTTCTTCTTGCTCTTTACTTCCTCGGCTTGTGGAAGAGGCTTGATAGATGCATGGTGACCAGGTAGCCCTTGCACCAGAACTTTTGCTTCAGAATTCATCATTGGTGTTCTCACCTTCGTTATAGCCGTTTCTACTTTTGGGTCTCAGTTGTTCAAAATATCCCTTGCTAAACCCTTATTAAACTCCTTGGAGTTTAAAGCCACTTGCTCAATAGTAGGCTGAAACCAATTGCCATATACAAGCAACAAGGACATTTTGTCTGAGCAAAAACCAGCTACTAGAATAGGGACTGGGAGACCAGCAGTTGGTGTAATAGCTATGTCACTGGACTCCCATGCAGTCAACTGCTGTTCAAGTCCCTGACCCAGTGGCTTAAACTCACGCCAGTCACATGAATGTACACGCTCAAGATCCTGAGAGGAGAATGGGAGGAGAAGGGATTGTGGCGTGGCCATCCCCCCTGGGGGGTAATTTCTCGCTTTCTGTCTCTCTGTCTTTCTGGCTAGCGCATGTGCCTTATAGCAAAATCCTCTCCAAAAAAAAAAAAAGAATAGGGATTGGTGTTGGTGTTAATTTCTTGCCTTTCCCAGGTGTTGCTATCTGAAAATTGTGCAGTTTGAAGTCAAAGGCTTCTTGCAGTACCCATTTAATATGTGTTCAGAAAGATGGACTTGACCGTCTCTGCAAACCACAGCTAACTTGACAGGCTCTTCTTTGTTTTCTGACGAAGTCAAATCAGTGTAGACTGGTTCATCCGTAACTGTGGAAGACATCACTGCATTCTCCTCTTTATTTTCTGACCAGATCTGCCAGACATTAAGTAACCGGTCACGCACTGCTCCAGATAAGAAGTAAAGACCTGCAATTCCATCAGAGGGCTGGCTCCCGTTAGGAGGTCTGACAGTAGTGAACCTGAGTGATGAGACTGGCCTCGCATGCCCTGTGAAGTGTCTGTAGACTTCTTTGGTCTCCAAAACCCAGTTAGATTGTTCGACCTGCTGAAAGTAATATTTTTCCATCTGGGCTGATGCTCAGGGAACTAGCGCTGCTGTTGTCAGCTTTCCATTTGCACTCTACTTTGCGGGTCTGTATGTTCATTCCACAGTATGTTTCTCATCTGAACAACTATATAAACAGCCACCGTCTTGATGCCGCTGTATGCCTATCTACCACTTATTCACTGTGTAATTCTTCTTTTACTGTACTATATAATAAAATGCTACCAACTGCTGTACCAAGAGCCAACAAGTCAATCTGGTCACCAGCTCCTCCTGTAGCTTCTGATTTCCTTTTTTACCTCTGAGGACTTTCCTTGGCCTGCAGCCGCTGTGGTGCCCAGGCCAGGCAGGTGCAGGTACCGCTGAGAAGCGTGGAAGGCACCAGTTGTTGTTTCTGTCCCAAACCCGCAGGTGACCGTCAGTAGAGGCCAAGTGAAATAGGCCTGGCTCTGAGGGAGAAGGTGCAGGGGACCCCCAACAGGGCCAGGAGTTTGTGGCCACCGTTGCTGCCTGCTACCATTGCTTATAGCTGCTTTTAAAAATCTTCTCTTTGTCTTTAGTGTCCTGCATTCTCATTACAAGTGTCTAAGTATAGATTTCCTTTTTAAAAAATCATTTATTCAATTGTATTTATTCATTCATTTATTTTAACTTGACCGGAGAGAGACACATAAAAAGAGAGAGAAGGAAAGTGAGAAAGCAAGCCACCAGGTCCAGGACTCAAACAGTGGTTGACCATGTTGGAATGTCCAGTGCCTTAACCACCACACCACTTAACCTATGGAGTATATTGTGTATCCTAGATCTCTGTATTCATGTTTTTCATTAATTTAGGAAAATATAAGCAATGATTATTTATTAAAGATTTATTTATTTAATTCCACTTATTATTATTACTTTTTTAATTTGACCAGAGAGAGAGAGAAAGGGAACGCAAGAAAGCAAGCTACCTGGTCCAGGACTCAAACTATGGTCAGCCATGTGGGAGTCCAACGCCTTAACTATTGCATTTTCTTCATTCTATTTCTGGAATCAGGTTAGATATTTATCAGATCTTCCTTTTTCTTTTTTTCTTTCTTTCTTTTTTTTTTTTTTTAAGAGATTTTTCCTACAGTATGTGTGCACTTACTGGAGAGACAGAAACACAGAAAGTGAAAAATTCCACCCCAGTGGGGATGGCCACACTGCAATCCCTTCTCCTCTTGGGATTTTAGACATACATGCACATGTGCCTGGCATGACTTTCAAGCTGCCAGGTCTGGGACTTGAACTGCAACTGGTCATGTGGAAGTCCAGCACGTTAACCACTAGGCTACCTGATGGCCCCTATAGTAGCCTTCTTATACCTTGATTTTTTTTAATTTTATTTTATTTTTTGGAGAGGTTTTTGCTATTGGGCGCGTGCGCTTGCCAGACAGACAGAGAGAGGAATAGAGACAGAAAGTGAGAAATCACCCCCCAGGGGGGGATGGTCACGCCGGAATCCCTTCTCCTCCATTCTCCTCTCGGGATCTTGGGCACGCACGCACACGTGCCTGGCGTGAGTTCTAAGCCACCGGGTCCGGGACGCGAACCGCAGTCAACTATGTGGGAGTCTAGCGTCATAGCCATTACGCTAACTGCTGGTTCCTATACCTTGATGTTCTTTTTAAAAAGAATTATTTATCTAACTTTATTATTCTTCTTCAGTTTGACCAGAGAGACAGAGAGAGAGTGAGTGAGAAAGCAAGCCGCCAGGTCTGGGCCTCGAACTGTGGTCAGCCATGTGGGAATCCAGCGCCCCAACTACCACGCCACCTGCTAGCCCCAATCTTGATATTTTTAATATGATAGAGGGAGAAACCACATCCCAATGGGGCATGGTCATGCCACAATCCCTTCTCCTTCATTTTTTTACTCTTTTGAGATTTGGGGCACACACACCCATTCGAATTCCAGCCTCAGTGTGGTTTTCAGGCTGCTGAGGCTGGAATTCGAACTGTCTTGGGCCACTTAGGGTCTAGCTCCCTTAACTACTAAACTATGGGGCTGGTCCCAGGATCTTTTGTTTTTCTCGAAACATTTTATACATTGTCATATTACTATAGCAAATATTATAGTATGCTACTCTGTTATTACTAAATACAGTATACTACTCCATTATTTTATGTATTACCTATGTAAGCAAAAGGGATGCTACCCAGGGCCAATATCGTCAATATCGCCCTCTGAATCAGCTCATGCCTGAGGGCAAGGCTGGAGAAACCTAAAGCACCCGATGCCACCTTATGACAAGAGAGACTGGAAATGGAGTGTTCCGGTCCTCTCTGGGGAAAAATGTTTTACTTTTGTGCTTGTGATGCACACAATCGCTATGACTTTCTTTTTTTTTTTACTTTACAATATAAGCCCCAGTGGTTCCAGAATGCTTTACATTTTTCCTAGTTGATTCTTGGTTCTCCATAAATAGTAAATAAATCTTCATCATGGGTTCCAGAAACTCAAACAACTACTCTTATCCAAGAATATACTTGTTTGAAGTAATGATACTTGGACTATTTATACATTCTAGTCAGTGTATAATGATAATTTCTGTAAAATTGTAAGCTAGTATTGTTTTCAAAATATCCTCACACATGTTATCTTGTTGAAGGTTAAAAGTGAAAGTGAGTTTTAATGATAGCAGTTGGGATTTGAAACCTTTGGCAAGAGCTTCTCATCCTCCAGAACCCCAGGAAGGAGAAAAAGCAGTTGTTCACAAGTAAGCCTGCATCCCATGGTTTTGCTCTTCCTTCATTTAAGGTGCTTGGCTGTGTCGCACCTCTGCCATCCTTTCACTAGCTGGAGTCATGGCCAGGCGCAAGTACAGCCTCCCTTGAGGCAAGGTCCCCCTTGCCGCATGGCATAAGGCATTCCTTACCACTTGGTAAAGTGGCAACTTTCCTCAGGCTTTTCTGGTTTTAAAGAAAAAATAACTGGGACCAGCAGATGGTATGATGGCTATGTTGCTGGACTCACACGTAATCAACCACAGTTTGAGTCCTGGGTCCGGCAGCTTAACACTCACACCGGGCACATGTGCATGCGTGCCCAAAATCCCAAGAGAATGGAGGACAAGGGATTGTGGCGTGGTCATCCCCCCTGGGGGGGTGATTTCTCACTTTTGTCTCTCTGTCTCACACAAGCACATGCACCCTATAGTAAAAACCTCTCTTAAAAAAAAAAAGCTAACATATTTAGAAATAACAAGCACAGACATGGAAAAAATTGTTAATGACTTGTACTAAAATGAAACATTAGGAAATTTTTAATTGAATTTGAGCACCATAAATGTAGTCTGGGACTAGTTTTGGTGGGCGGCATGGTATTGTACCCAGAGTGAAAAGACATTACAGGCAGAGAAGTGGCCCATGGAACACAGGAAATCATCTCAATTAACTGGTTATAGAATCAAAAGTAAGAAATTTCTAGCTTTCCATGCCACCCACAGGGTTCCACATAGCACTCTGGAGTCCCATCATAATTGAAAAGGGAAGCTTTCAGTGTCCAGAGCCTTGATGTCCTGCAAGTGAAGGAGGAAGGTGTCCTCAAATTTCTTGTATCCAGAACCCACTTAGCTGGCACCAACCTCGACTTTTAAAAGGAACAGCACATCTACAAAGCAAAAGTAATGGTATTACATCATCGGTCTGAAGAGGACCTGGGAGACGCTTCTGTGGGCAGCTCGTGCCGGTGTTGCCAGCGTTAACCCTGCTGATGTCACATCCTCTAGGAATACTGACCAGGGGGCTGTGCTGAAGTCAGACGCTGCCACTGGAGCCCCTCCTATTGCTGGCCTCTTTGCTCCTGGAGCCTTAACTAACCAGACTGAGGCAGCTTTCAGAAACCCATGTCTTCTGGTGGTTACTTGATCCTGGAGCTGACCACCAGCCTCTCTCTCACAGAGGCATCTTATGTTAACCTACATACCATTGCGCTGTGTGACAGATTCTTCTTCGCACTGTGTGTGGACACTGTCAGCCTGTGCAACAGCAAGGGAGCTCACTCAGTAGGTCTGATGTGCTGGATGCTGGTCTGGGAAGTTCTGCACAGGCAAGGCACTGTTTCTCATGAACACTCATGGGAGATCATGCCTGATCTCTACTTTAGCAAAGATCCCAAAGAGATTGAAAAAGAACAGCAAGGCATTGCTGAAAGAGCTGTGGCTAAGGAGGAATTTCAAGATGAATGAAATTCTCCAGGTTCTGAATTAACCGTTACTCAGCCTGAGGTCACAGACAGGTCTGACAGACAGCAGAGAGACTGACTACTTGCCTCAGGTGATCTTTTTTTTTTTTTTTAATAATTATTTGTTTTATTTTATTTATTCATTCAATATTTCTTAATTTGACCAGAGAGAGACAGAGGGTGAGAGTGAGAGAGAGAGGAAGTGAGAAAGCAAGCCACCAGATTCAGGACTTGAACCCTGGTCAGCCATGTGGGAATGTCCAGCACCTTAACCACCACACCACCTGCTGGCCCCCTTGCCTCAGATGATCTTAATGATTTAAAGTAGAAACAGATGACTGTTAGAGATGGCCACCGTGGACTCCTCAATGTCCTTGAGGTGTAGTTTAACAATTTTGCTGCTCTGTCTCCCTCTCTAAATGGCCGAAGGCACATGCATGAGAGAGAGAGAGAGAGAAGGAGAGAGAGAGAGAAAGATACCAATCTGGCATCCTCTGGGTAGGGCCTCATTGCTGAACTGTGGGGCCTGCCCTGCTTTGACTCTTTTTTTTTATCCTTTTTTTGAGAGGTTTTTGCTATAGGGCGCTCGTGCTCGCCAGAAAGACGGAGAGAGACAGAGAGACAGAAAGCGAGAAATCACCCCCCGGGGGGGATGGCCACACCGCAATCCCTTCTCCTCCATTCTCCTCTCGGGATCTTGGGCACGCACGCACACGCACCCAGCGTGAGTTCAATCCACCGGGTCCAGAACTCAAACTGCAGTCGACTACATGGGAGTCCAGTGACATAGCCATTACGCCAACTGCTGGTCCCTGCCTTGACTCTTGAATAAGGACTAAAATGGGATACAAAGAAGGATTGAAACTAAGCTCTATTCGCTTGGTAGTTAAGGTCTAAAAAAGATAGGATTCAGGATCACTCTTTTTTTAAAAAAATTTGTCAGAGGGCTCATGTACTTGAGGAGAGAGACAGAGACAAAGAGAAGGAAACTAAGAAAGCACCACACTGCAATCCCTTTTCATTCATTTCTCCCTCCTTTGGGATTTTTGGCACATATACGGGTATGCTTGACCTGCTTTTCAAGCTGCCACATCTGGGACTTGAACCATGCACTTGGTCATGTGGGATCCACCTGCCTTAACCACTATGCCATGGGATGGCCCCAGAATCACTCTTGATGTTAGAACTTGAAGGAGTAATTTCCTCTGTAATCCCTAATTACCACAGTCTCAGGACCTGTTTGCATATGATTTTAGAATAAGACTTTTCTTAAAGAATGAAAATATTTAACTTTATTTATTTATTTATCTATTTAAATTTGACCAGAGTGGGACCGAGTGAGAGAGAGAGAAAAAAAGTGAGAAAGCAGGCCACCAGGTCTGAGACTTGACCACAGTTGGCCGTGTGGGGGTCCAACACCCTTATTTCTTTTTTGAGAGCGATTTTTGCTATAAGGCATGTGCGTTCACCAGAGAGACAGAGAAAGAGACAGAAAGCGAGAAATCATCCCCCAGGGTGATGGCCATGTAGCAATCCTTTCTCCTCCATTCTCCTTTTGGGCTTTTAGGCATACATGCACCCGTGCCTGGTGTGAGTTTTTTTTTTTTTTTGGAGAGGTTTTTGTTATAGGGTGTGTGCGCTCGCCAGAAAGACAGAGAAAGACAAAGAGACAGAAAGTGAGAAATCACCCCCCTGGGGGGATGGCCACGCCATCTAGACTGAGGCTCACCCATCCCTGAATCTCTACATGTTTCTGAATACAGAGTGAGGAGCGGCTGAGACAGCATGTTTAGGTGGAAATCCTGCCTATCAACTGAGTCACTGAGCTCTGACAAGACCAGGCTTTAGGGGAATGAGCTCATCTTACCCCAGGAAGGGTGAGATAAGGGTAAGCTGCTCTCCCACAAGCCCCTTATCCCTACACACTCAACTCTTCTCTTTTATCAGCTCCAAAAGATTTTAGCAACCAAGGAACAAACATACTGATTCTTGACGGGTGAAAGAAGATGCAAAAGAAGGCTGCTTCAGAGGAAGTCATCTGCTAGCAGGAATCATTCAAGGTGAGGACCAAGAAAGGCCCTCAAGAATTGTTTTAAGCAGGATTCTGCAATAAACTTCACTTACGCCTTGGATTTAGTGCCTGCAATAATTAAGAAGTGGCAATACCATGTATTGACAGTGATTACAAAGGTATTTTTCCCAGAAGTTAAGAAATATTGAAAGATCAAATAAAAATACTAATAGTCACCTTACTGAGTGTCCATCTCAATTCATTTGGTTTGTTCCTAATGATCAGGCACTCTTAAAATCCATACCCTCCTATCTTCCCCAAGTTTTTCAACATTCCTTAGAAAACTTAAAAATTCATTTTTGGTATACTTTCTCACTAGCTAATTCTGATGGAAAACATCATCCTCTGGTTCATATTGAGTTTGTATCTGGGTCACAGGAAGACACAGTAGGCCATACAGTAGAAAACAGTACAATTGTTTTCTTAAGCAAAAAGGAGACCATGAGAACCCTTTGAAAGGATATGGGGGGAGTCTCAGTTCTCCAGTTTTGTCTGTTCTCCACACAATATAATTGCCAAGAAGCCTCTCTTTACTAATCCATGCTCAAACTTTCACATAAGTTATTGGCAGCATTATCAATCCAACTGCAGTTACAATTCAGCAGCCTACAAGATCAACTGATAGACGAGGACAAGAGACAAATGGGTTTATTAAAAATGCTGGCCTTATTTTTTTATGCCTCGATTCCAGCAGTCTGACATCTGAGCTCCTTATTTTTTTGCTTTAGGTCATTCATTTAACTCTCTTATTCCACATTCATCATCATCTTCATTCTACCATAATGATTATCTAGATTCTTGGTATCTCACCCCTTGTATGATTTGAATGTGTCCCTTCAACATTCATGTGTTCAAATTTGGTTGTTATTGTGATGGTATTAATAGGATGGAAACTTAATCACTGTAGTATTAAGAAGTGGAGCTTCTCAGAGGTGATTAGGATTAGGTAAAGTCATCAGAGTGGAATGTACATGACTGAATACTGGAGGCTTTATAAGAAGAGGGAGAGAGATCAGATATGACAAACCAAACATCATGCCAAGTGATATTCTATATCATCATAGGACTCTCCAGAAAACGCCATCAGCAAGAAGGCCTAAACTGGATGCAGTCCCTCAGCCTTGGGCCTCCAGAATTATGAGATGAATAATTTTTTTTTTTTCGGAGACAGCACAACTTAAATGAGGGCAGGGCTGCTGCCTGACCGCGCCTGGGTCCACCGTGCAGCTCGGCCTTCTCCGAGCATCCAGGGGACAGAGCTCCTCCCATCCCGCACGTCTGTGGGGCTCACCGCTCACACCTGCCGAGGTGCCACCTGCCCTCGTGGCCAGTGGCGGCCTGCGTGGCTGGGAAGCCCGCTGCCGTCCCCAGCGCCCACGATGCACCACCGTGGCTGGAGGCGGTGGAGTCCGTTATACTGGTGGAGGTGCACACATCAAGTCCCAGTATAGACAGTTCCCCCAGCTGACCAGACACCAGATCCTTCCCAGTGGACAGATGAAGAATTAGGTATCCTTCCTGATGATGAAGACTAAAAGCACAGACTCAACTCTTTACAAGAACCAGGTGAGAATTTCAAGAAGTTATGGACTTCATGTCTTACATTAAAGTTTTAAATTAAAGTGGTTTGTCCACAAATGAAAAAAAAATGTAGGAAATTGGTGCCAGTGAGTGGCGTGGTGGTTAAGCTTCTGGACACTCTCACATGGCCGACCATGGTTCAAGTCCCACACCAGATGGCTTGGTTTCTCATTTTCCCTTTCTCTCTGTCTCTCTGGTGAATTAAATAATAAGAATAAACTAAAAATTAAATTAAACAGTAGGAAATTTATTTATTTATTTATTTATAATTCTTGCTATAGGGTGCATGCCTTCACCAGAGAGATAGGGGGTGGGACGGGAGGATGGCCATGCTGCAATTCCTTCTCCTCCATTCTCTTTGAGATTTTGGACATGTATGCACATGTGCCCTGTGTGTTTTTCATGTTTTTAAATTCCAGGACTTGAACCACTCAGCCATGTGGGACCTGGCCATCATAACCTCCACACCACCTGCTTGCCCATCAAAGTTACTGGATTTTATCCTGTTTTTTTAAAAACATTTTTGCTGTAGGGAGTATACATTCACTAGAGAGAGAAAGAGAGACAGAGGAAAATGAGAAATCACCTCCAACGGGGAATGGCCACACCTCAATCCCTTCTCCTCCAATTTCACCTCGAGATTATGAGCATGCACATGCCTAGTGTGCTTTTTCAAGCCACGAGGTTCAGGAATCAAACTGTGGTCAGCCATATGGAGGTCCAACACTTTAACCACAACACCACCTGCTGGCCCAATTTTAAAGATAAAGACTCCTTGGAGCACCCAGGCAAAAAGATCAAGTCACTTTAAAATGGGGAATATAGCATGTCTAGAGCAACCTTCAGCACTAGAAAGCAGCACAAGCCTATGAAGCTCTTCAAGGAAGGCATTCAATTTTAATTTCCATGCAAACTGTCACTGAAGCGTAAAGGCAACAAGCATATTTACATATATAGTAACCAGAGGAATACAGTTCTCATAAACCCTTCTTAAAAATATTACTAAGTAATGAACTTCAGTCAACTAAGACATAAAATACTGCAAAAGGTCCAGCAATGAATATAAGGTCTATTAACTGAAATGGATTGAAAGGAAGTCAGGTTACTGCTATGGGACAGAATTTAAATGTTGTAGAAACACTTACATAAATGGAGAGGGAGAGAGGAAATAGGAGCAGAGTAAACAGATCGATTTCCTCTATTTTTACAAATGATATTTAAAGTCATTAAGTAAGGGAAGACTAATAGAACATTAACAAAAATATACTTAGTGAATAGGCACTACAACATAGGGTGAAGAGTACATGCTTTGATGAGAAAGACACACCTTTGAATGTTGGCAATTATTTGCTTTGTAAGTTTGGGCAGGTTGGTCAACCACAACCTCTCTGATATGTTCCTTAGCCAGAAATATTCCTCACGTTTTTTAGACTTAATATAGACTTATTAGCTTGTACATATTGATTAAGGGAAACTGTTATAAAATCAACTAGATGTGTAGGCAAAGTTGCTTGGGACATTACACATGGTCTTAAAGTGTTGGGTCATCCGAAAAGTCATGATGCATTTTTGTATAGAAGAACACAGAAAAAAAATATGTCATGACTTTTCGCACAACCCAATAGGTATCCTATTCAAATTGAGAAGAAGGTGCTGGAACTCACACAGCGGTCCCATTATTCTAAAGTCTATTCAAATCCTGGCTCGAATCCTGCATGATTTCTCCCCTACCAGTCAGTTTTGTCTCCTTTGAAAACACTTAATCCAGTCAACTCTTGTCTCTAGGGAGAAAATTGAATTTCTCTCTCAGAGAAACAAAGGCTATTTCCCAAGAAGAAAAGATTGAAGTGTATATGTGTATTTTTTTTTCTCTCTTTTTTAAAGTTTGCTATAGGGTGCATGTGCTCAACAGAGAGAGAGAGAAAAAGAAAGGGAGAAAGACAAAGAGACCCCAGGGGAGATGGCAGTGTGCAATCCCTTCTCCATTCTCCTTGGGACTTTAGGCACGCACACACACACCTAGCATGTATTTCAACCTGCAAGGTTCAGGACTCAAACTGCCCATAGTTTGTCATGTGGGATCCAACTGCCTTAATATTCTTGCCACCTACTGGCCCAAAATTGGAGTATACATTGAGTGGGGGTATTCATTTTTTTTTAACATTTATTATGGAAAATTTAAATCATATACAAAATAGAAAAGTACATGAACTTCAATCTTGTTTAATCCATAATCCTAACCACTTTTCATCCCCTACAGACTGGATTCCTTTGAAGCAGAATTCAGATATATTTTATGCATAAATATCTCAGTACTGATAATATCTCCTTTGTGAAAACAACACAAACCATTCTTATACCTTGAAATATGTACAGTTCCCCACCCTTCCTGGAGAGGGAGTGGGACCCCACAGACCCATCATCATCAGTGGTGGTTCAGAGGCTTGAAAACCACACCTGGCAGGTGCATACATCCTGACAGGATAGAGACAGGCAGGGAAAGGATTGCACCTTGACCTCTCACTGGGGGATAGAGGGAAGGGGAAAGAGTTCTTCCTGTTCTCCCTAGTGAATGCTCTGTGCCCTGCGGCATTAAAAACAAAACAAAACAAACAGGCAGCAGCAGGTGGTGAGGAAGTTAAGCAACTGGATCCCACATGGCTGGCTCCTCAGTTCAGGTCCTGGGTCCACCGGCTTGAAAATCATGTTGGTTGCTTATGCCTGTATGCCCAAAATCTAGAGAGAAGCCTGGGGGAGAAGGGGTGATTTCTCACTTTCTCTCTCTTTCTCTCTGTCTCTCTGATCAGAGTGCACATGCCTTACAGCAAAAAAGGAAAAAAAAATCAACAATCTCTTTTTTTTTTTGGAGAGGTTTTTGCTATAGGCCATGTGTGCTCGCCAGACAGAGAGAGACAGAGAGACAGAAAGTGAGAAATCACTCCCCAGGGGAAATGGTCACGCTGCAGTCCCTTCTCCTCCATTCTCCTCTCAGGATCTTGGGCACGCATGCACATGTGCCCAGCGTGAGTTTAAGCCACCGGGTCCGGGACACAAACGGCGGTTGACTACGTGGGAGTCCAGCAACATAGCCATTACGCTAACTGCTGGTTCCCTGATCTCAAATGTTTTTAACAGTGAATATCCTCAAATCCTAATCCAAAAGGTCCATCTGCAGACATGACACCCTCTAAGTAGCTGTCAACAGAAGCCAATACATCACTGAAAACCAGCCATGACTTCTGCTTTGTAGCCTTCAGCCTTACAGATAAGGGATAAATTCTCTTTCATATGAACTGACACACCCTCAACTAAAAAGTGTATTTGTTTATTTATTTATTTATTTCAGAGATATTTTTATTTTTTAATTTATTATTATTATTATTATTTTTGCTATAGCGCACATGTGCTAGCCAGCCAGAGAGACAGAGACAGAAAGCGAGAAATCACACCCTAGGAGGGATTGCCATGCTGCAATCCCTTCTGCTCCATTCTCCTTTCAGGATTTTGGGCGCGCGCGCACACGCGTGCACACACACACACACACACACACACACACGTGCCTGGTTTTTGAGTTTCAAGTCACCGAGTCCAGGACTCAAACCACTGTCAACCACATGGGACTCCAGCAACATAACCATTATGCCATCCACTGTCCCAGTCATTATTTTTAATTTGCTATAGGGACGTGGGCTCACCAGAGTCAGAGAGAAAGTGAAAATGCAAGTCTCCAGGTCCTGACTCCAACCGGTCAGCCTGAGGGAGTTCAGTGCCTCTCCATCACCACAGCCACCTGCCGCCTCCCCAGACTTTTTATTTTTCCTTTGGTGGAGGTTTTTGTCTTAGGGCACTTGCGCCCCCAGGAGATAGATGAGAGAGAGAGAAAGAGAGCGAGAGAGACTGAGAAATCACCCCCCAGGGGGGGTGGCCACGTGGCAATCCCCTCTCCTCCATTCACCTCTCCGGATCTTGGGCACGCACGCACACGCGCCCCGCATGAGTTTTAAGCCACCGGGTCCGGGACTTGAACTGGCCAGATACGTGGGAGTCCAGCGACTTAACCACTACGACACTTGCCGGCCCCCAACGGTGTGTTCTTAGAAATCCAAGAGGAGGACGGCGGTTCACTGGGCAGCAGAACGCCAGCGCGCCGGGGCGGGAGGGGAATCGACGCCTCCTGTGGGTCGGGGCCCCAGGGACGCCCGGGAGGAACGTGTGGGGAGGCTGGGGGACCCTGGGACAGGCTGCCAGGAAGGGCCGCGCCCCCCGCTGTCCCTGGCGGCAGAGA